GTTTCCTTTTGTTCCTTACTTTTTCATAGAAGAAATTGTTTAGGTTTCGACATAAATACTCCCTCGATTATCTCTCTTTTGGACAAACTTCCGAAATTTAATTTTTAAATCAAAATTAAATGGTTTTCCCCTTGCGTATGAGATTGTGTTATCACTCTGCTATTCGTTTGTTTGCTTCTGTGCCTTGTGTGGCGTTTTGGGGTAGCCAAGTATTTCCCAGTCGAACCTTATCTTGACTGCTGTCCCCAGCAGCCACTTCCGTACTTGCCCCATTCCAGTGGCATTCGTGGCCCTATCTGGTGTGGCTTATTCTCCCCTGTGGCCGTGTCAATACTTGCCACAAATTGAAATTAGCAGCGCGTTAAGAGCACCTGTAGTCCCGCAGAGGCATGTGCGCGCCGTCGCTCCGTGCCACATTCCCGATGCCGGGCACATAATCCCCGTAAATTAATATGCTGCACATGTGTCGGAAAGCGGAACTAACATTACCATCCTTTGTTTTTAGCTGAAGGAATACGAGCTTAGCGAGGTGTTCAACATTGCCGAGGACGATCGCAAATATGAGACGGTCCAGACCCAGACCCATCTCGATGCCGAGCACAGCCATGTGGAGATGAACAACGAGCTCTCGGCCAGCATCGAGCGGGAGCGCCAGACGGAGCAGCAGCAAGAGCAGCAGCAGCAGGAGCCACAGCAGCAGCAGCAGCAGCAGAAGCTGCAACAGTTGCAGCCATTCAATGACGAGAGGCAGCGCATCCGGTCGCAGCTGCTGGCCAAAATGAATCCCATGTGAGTAGAACAAATGCAGGATTAAATCAATTAAGTGAAAGGCCAAGTGCAAAAGGAATGTGTGGGAAACTAATATAAAAGCATGACTCTAATTGAATGGGGAAACGCTTAGCTCCATAAACTCTTACGCCAGTGCTACCCTTCCATCATATCTATAGGTAGAACCCGCCATTCTATTGTTATTTTCGCGGCTATTTATAGAACTTGACGTCACCAATGGGTAATCAATTAATGAATGTCATAAATGCTTAGATAACAGTTGATTCACTTAAAGTTGGAGCCATGAAGAATAACATTTAATGTGAACAACACACATTTTCGCTTGAAAATGTCTTCAAGTTTTCCTTAACCCACTTTTGGGGGGTGTATTTTCTGGGGCAAGCTTACTATTTAAATGCCACACGGCGTGTACGTAATCTCGGCTGGAGTGCAGAGAGTTCAGAGTGCAGAGAGTGCAGTGAGAGAGCTGCAAGTGGCGCTATTTAACATATGCACAAAGTGCTTTCCCCAAACTCAAGACTTTCCTCCGACTGCTTTCAACACCCGACACATCCACCGACACATGGAGACACATTTAAAGCAACGTGCCGAGCGCCCAGGGGCAAGACGGGCAAGAAAACTACGAGGAAGAAGAAACAAACGAGTGGGTGAAAAGAAAACAGAGCTCTTTCTTCTGGCACACTTCAAAGCACATTACACCACTCGGGCGGGGGCGGGGGCGGGGGCGGGGCCGTGGCAGAGAGGCAGTTGCAGAGTGGCACGTACCTGGGTAATGCTGCATCTTTAAAAAGGAAAACTCTAGCCAAACGAGGAAAAACTACAACTAATCCCTGCTAACAGTTCCAGGTTCCATTCTCATTCGCATCTGGAGCGGCTCCACCTCCCAGCACCACGATGTCTGTTTTCGTGCCACTTTTGGCCGGGAACTGAGACCAGGCTGCTGGCTGCTGGCGGCTAGAGTGGATTTTGGCACCATTGGCACTGGTAACCTGCATATTTAATGACCATTTCCCTGGCAGCCCACCCTCCTGAGACGTGTTCTAGTGCCAAGCTCCCGAGTGGGCGTTGACTAGCTCGCTTTTCCTTTAGTTTTTGGCACACAAACACGAACAGGGACAGTGACAGTGACATGGACAGGGACAGGGACAGGGTCTGCAGATAAGTCTGGCAGATATGTATACCGAGCGGTAATCACTATCTTATCGAGTGCATGGCACGGTATGTTGTCGCGGGTGGCCTATAAATGTTGTTGAATGGCCGGCAATCGGGCAGAGACTTAACTAGCAGCAACATGCCCGGGATAGCGCCAGCCACCCTCACGGTAATTGCCGGTGCATCTGCCAATAACCAGAGGCAGCAGCAGCAGAAAAACAAAAACTCTCAGCAGCAGACATCGAGCAGTAAGCCACTGAAATGGAACTCGAAATTTAAACATATTCTAAGAGGCGCGACTTTTTTTTAGCACCCCAGCAGCAGCAGCAGCAGGGCGAATCGAAGACAAATGCCTGCCAAATAACTTAGATATAGTGACTATCTTATCTGTGTTTTAAGGACTTAAGGCCTGAAAATATATTTCCAATGACATAAACACGCGACTATAAATGGGACCGGGCACAGTGATCCGCGTTTCAGTCAACGGCCAGGCCAGGGCGACAACGAATCGGAAACAAACGAGAATAGAACGAAAGATGACCCGAACGACTACGACACAAGAGACGAGAGTGGAGGAAACCATAGAGATTTCCTCCTCCTCGAACAGAACCATCGAAGAGACCATCGACATCACAACAATTGGGGGAGCAATAGTGCCAAAGCAACGACATCACCATCATCTGCATCACCATCATCAGCATCGACAGAAGGAGAATGTGGAGGTGGTTGAGGAGGTGATTGTGCTGGAGGAGGAACCAGAGCAGCAGAAGCAGCAGAAGCACCACCGCCACCATCATCATCATCACCATAAGAGGATGTCAGGGCCAGCACCGCCACCGCCACTGCCACAGTCCTCGCCGCCATTCCTCACGCCAACAGAGGATCTCGCCGAGGATGTGGTGTGGGCGCCACAGCCCTATTGGAATCAGAGCCAGGCATCTACGCCCAATTCCTCTGTAGATCTTCTCCTAAAGAAACTCGAAACAGAAGTGATTGTGGACCAACCATCACCCACAACCACAGAGGAATTTGCGGCCATGGAATGGTCACCCAACTGCAACCCAACCACAGAGATCGTGCAAGAGGAACTGACAGCGGAATATGCACCACCCACTGGGCCGCCACCACAGCTACAGGTGCAGACAACGGGTTTCTATCCAGCAGCTCAGCCCCCGCTGCTCTCACCCATCGAAGAGTCAGAGCTTGTGGAGTTCAGCACAGAGGCACCCCAAAGGGATTCCATTCCACCGGAGGGCTTTGTGAAAACCCTCGTGGAAACGTTTGAGGTCGGAGCACCCGTGGATCCGCCAATTCAATTGGGCTACACACCAAGGGCAAGTCTATGGAATAAAGAGTTATTTGTGGAGACGGTGGACATGTCACCGATTCCCTCACCGCCACCAAGTCCGCCCTTAGAGGATGAACCCTACCTACTCCCTGCCAGCGAAGAGTTGATGGAAACGGAGATAGTTACAGAACCACAACCAAGTTTCATTCCAAGAGAGTGGAAGGAGCGTGTCGAGCAGATTGTGGAGAGTGTGGAGGTCGTCACACCGCCTGCCAGTCCCATACCACAAACCGAACTGATTGTGGAGTCCTTGGACGTAACGCCAACGACATCGCCACCACCCAGTCCAACCATTGAAGTGGCATTGCAAGCAGGATTCATGCCAAGATCAAGTCTCGTGGAAGACTCGGAGCTGCTGGTGGAGTCCCTGGATGTAACGCCAACTCCATCGCCACCGCCTAGCCCTGCTCCAGCACAAATAGAACGGGTTCCAATAGGGTTCAGGCCTGAATCTACAATACTGGAAACGGAAACGGTTGTGGAAACTGTGGAGAGTCCAGCCCCTCCACCACCCATAGAAGCATCCTTGCAAATGTGTCTCATGCCAAGGGAGAGTGAGGTGGAAGAGGAACTGATTTTTGAGTCATTTGAAACGTCTCCAGTTGCCACACCGCCACCGAGTCCGCTAGTGCTTCAGCCTGGATTCATGCCCCGAGCAAGCGTGGTGGAAACGGAGCTCATTGTGGAGAGCCTGGAGGCCACGCCCACGCCCACGCCCCCGCCCACTCCGCCAGACAGTCCCATCAGGGAGTTCCCATTTCAAGCTGGATTCATTCCACGTGCAAGTGTGCCGGAAACAGAGCTGATTGTCGAGTCCCTGGAGGTGACGCCAACTCCAACGCCACCTGCCAGTCCTCCTGCACAGCTCAGAATGAAAGCGGGAACAGTGCCACCCCCGAGTCTGCCACAAACGGAAGTGATCATTGAGTCCGAGGAGGTCACAGCCACACCCCCAACCATACAGCCTCAAAATGGATTTTCACTCACGGATCTCGTTGTGGACTCGCAGCAGCCATCGCCCGAGGTGGTGGAGAAAGAGACAGAGATCATCATTGAGTCTGGACAGGGCAATGCCAATGGGCAAACAGAAGTGGTTTTGGTCACTGAAGAGACACTGACTGCCGCCAACCCATCAGACCTGGTGCTGGTCGGAGTTGTGGCAGAGGAGAGCAGCGACAAGACGGGCAAGCGATACTCGGTGAATGCTGCGCTGAAGGTGGAGGCCACACCACCCACGCCACCAGCTAAAGCCCCGCAGAGTGGGCATAGCGACGCTGTGGACGAGGGTGAGGCTGAGAAGAGGAGGAAGTGTTGCCCATGTCGTTGCGTCATTGCCTGATTGGGCTTACCCCCCCCCACCCAGGTCAAGGCTGTTGTCAAGTACAAGGCCCCAAAAAGGCATATCTAAAACTTATCGAAACTACAGACATTCTGATATCGGACTGGGAATGTAAGACCATTGGATATCGTGTATCTTATCAGCCGAAACAGTGGCTGAAACATTAAACCAAACAAACGAAAAATCACCGTCAATATCAGGGCAGGAAAGGGTAGGGCAGGGGCATGTAGGGCAGGGCACTGTGTAATTGATAGTTAATTAGCGACGGACACTCGAGTCGTTCGTAGATAAGGGCCACACACACTCGAAACGGTAATCGACAGCACACCACTTGGCCATTGGACAGCTCCGCAGTTTGAGCGGTCAGTGCGCTCAGTCAGCAATCGGCAGTCATTTGAAATGCCTCCACCAGGACGAGGCTACGGAGGACGCCCACAACAAGGACCTGGACCCTGCTATGGACCGCCCCGCGGCGGTGGCGTGAACGTTGGCATCAACATCGGCGGACCGCCGCGTCAGCCACCCATCGGAGTGGGCATCGGCTTCTGTCCACCGCCAGTGATTATTGGTGCACCGCCGCCACCTGCTGTGATCATCGGAGCTCCACCACCGCCACCCGTGTATATGCCACCGCCCCGACAGACCGTTGTGGTGGGCGCTCAGCCAGCGGTCTATGCCCAACCCACTGGGGAGGTTGTCTGCTGCACGATTCTCTGAACCCTCTAAAATATCTCTTCTTATATAAATAGTGTTAAATGTTTCGAAAATTAATCTAATAAAAACCAAAACATGTATTCAATATTCAAACATCACTTTGGCAAAAATTAAATAGTTTTGGGGCTAAAAGATTCTTTGTTCTGGCCATTGGAAAGTGCACAGAAAATTTGAATAAATGTCAATTGAAATCAACTCAAGCAGACATGCCTTAGAGAGGCAAAAAACAATACAAATTGTCATTCAAGTTGTTGTGTGCACATTTTCAAGTCAATTTTCAATTTGGGAAAGCAATTCGCTTTTGCCTGAGGCACAATTTCCCCGTCACATGTCCGAGAAGTGACTCACAAAGCCAGTTTTTGGGTGTACTCTGGTGGGGCGGAGGTGGCGTCTTGGAATTGCAAATTGCTCATGAAATAACATTTGCTTAAGACGTTTTGATGTGCTCGTCTAACGGTAATTGCCGTGCACATGATCGAAGCAAATTGTCGCTAATAACTTGCCACGTACGTTCGCAGGAAAAGTCTGAGAATTCCGGCAGCCGGGCCTGGAAAAATGCTCTGCATGTTATTTCAAATTGGGAATTTTGTTCATTATTTTCCGAGCATGGCGTTTTCCCTGTCTTCCTCTGAGTTGCCTCCTACTTTGGTCCTTCAATATTTTTGCCAATTTACTTGCCATCAGGCCCTGGCCCCGCGCTGTCTGTCTGTCTGTCGTGTCAGAGCCTCAGCCTGTGCCACTGCCTCTGCCCTCTGGTTCCGTCTTTGCCTGAGCCTGTGCCGTTTGATTTTTTTTTATTATTATTTGCGCGATTTTGCACGTGGCAAACGCGGAGGCATACAGCACGAGCTCGGTACGCGGCATGTGTATGCAAATAAACGAAAAACTGCAGGAAACAAAACACGGAAGTTGCCCAGGAAGCAACGCAGGAAGGAAGGAAGGAAGGAAGTCAGGCAGCGCCACAGCCAAACGCTGGCTAGAGGTTCTGCTCCGTGGGTTGGCTCTGGCTCTGGCTCTGGCGCTGGTTCTGTATCTGTCTGCGTCAGGCGGGCAAAAGGCAAATTTAAATTGAAATTTTCCACAGTTGATGTGCCGAAATAACAGACGTGAAGCGGCCACCCAGTGTGTAGTGTGTGTGGTGGTCTCCCACCCTGAAGCTTATGCCGAAGCTCTATGGCACATCCTTGAGAAATTGAATACCAGGCACCCACAATTAATTACGTTATTCAAAGTCAATCAGGAGCCACATTCCTGGCGCTGTAACATTTCAAATGAAGATTAATTAATGTGGAAACCAATATCCTTTCTCCATCCATTCTCTGCTTGCAGCTACAGCGGCGACGGCAGCAACAACAGCCAACAGCCGCCGCAACTGGGCCAAGTTCTGGTGCCCAAGAACGACAAGCACGCCATCTTGCAGAGCATCGCCAGCAGCTACCGGCGCGCCACGGATGCCGCCACTAATAATATCAGCGCCAACCTGACGGCATCCTCCGCCACCTCCGCCGTCTCTGCTCTACAATCACAAACGCAAACGCAAACGCAAACCCAATCACTGTCGCAGTCGCAGTCCCCAGTGGGCAGGGGAAATCTATCCCGTAGACGCTCACAGTCGCAGCGACGACGCGACTGTCGCGTGAGCCACTGGTCAGAGTGGACGGCCTGCAGCAAGAGCTGCGGCATCGGGGAGATGCATCGCTATCGCAAGGTCATCAAGCACGGCAAGCGGGGCGGCCGCCCGTGTCCGGCGCTGCAGCAGTCCAAGTGGTGCGGCACAGAGCGCAACTGCCACGAGCCCCAGACCTACTTCAACTGGTAAGGATTCCATCCGGGCATCTAGTTAATATTCAATCCATATAACTCTACCGATTCCCGCCGCAGGTCCGACTCTGACACATGAACGAGCCCCGGGGTGGAGCAGGAGGCAGGAGCGCAGGCTCCGATATAAATATAATTTTAATTTACGGCGTAAGAATTGCTTTTTTTCTGTGCGAGCACCAAGAGAAGAATAAGACGAAGCTACAGGAAGGAAGGAGAGGCAGAGGACACGGGGATATCTGCCCCAAAATGAGATTTTAATTTAAATTTAGATTACGATACGAAATTGATTTTAAAGCAGCAAGCACCGCCATGCCAGAGAATGGATAAAGGAGAGTGGATAACTGGAACACATGGCATATGAAGCAGAGAGGATGAAGGGGAAGACTACTGACAATATTTAACACAAAAAGGATTTAGACAAAGACACAAGCCAGGTGGCAGAAGGCAGAAGGTAGAAGGCAGAAGGGAGGCGAGAAAGGAATCCCACCATCAGGCCTGCAGCAGCTACAAATTTTAGATATTTTTTTTGATTTCAATCTCATTGCGATTCGACTTTCAGTTGCTTTAGCTCTAAATAATATGTAAAAATCAACAGCAACAAGAAAATATATTATAAAACAAACAAAACAACAAAACAGTAGACGTACAAAGCACAGAAAGCAAATCAAATTGAACAACAAGCGTGAGCATTTGCATATACCCAGACAAGGAAATCAAGCAAGAGGGAACCCAAACCCAAACCCCCAAAAGAGAGCCCAAAGAAAAACCACAACAACAACAACACACAGTTCGTGGCATGTGTGTGTGTGTGTGTGTGTGTGTTTGTGTTCAGCAACTAAGCTAATATTAGATGTAAACTAAGCTAATTGATAACATTAAATGGATTGCAATAAAAGTCAACCACAAAACCGAACACACAGTCCAAAAAGCAGACTCCTGAAATCGAATTGGTAGGTGCCAGAATTCTTGGCAGATATAAACACGAGACAACGAATTCCCTTTACCAGTGCGTTCTTTACTCTCTGCTTTGCAAATTTTTGATCTAGTCTATAAGGCTATAAGGCCTCGAGGTGAATGCCTTTCGATAATTCTGTGGCTTGTGCAAGTAAAGCCGCAGAAGATCTTCCTTTAAAACTTTAACACCTTATTTCAAACTCAATGAAAATAAATGAGTAACGTACAAGTTTCCCCAGCCAAAGAGCGAAGAGCTTGACAAAGTCAAATGCTATGACGGAGTGGAGTGTCTTGGCGATTGTTTCCGTCTGTGCAGCCTCACCATGGTGGGCAGAAGGAGTTTCAGGCTGCCGGACAGCATGATGCAGAACCCGGCCAAGGCGAAGGCAGCCGTGTAACCGTGAGTTGCCTCCACCAGAATTCCACCCAGAGTTGTGCCAATGAAAACGCCCATGCCCATGGCCAGCGCGGTAATCCCAAAGGCATTGGTCAGCTTTGAGAGTCCCAGGTATCGCACATAGATGAGCGCACGCAGCGTGGCGTACACAGCTGAGAATCACAGAGCTGAGAGATAAGTTCGAGTAAAGAGATGGCAAGGCTCACCTGGCGCGACGCCATAGCAGAAGCCGTAGAGTATCTGGAACCAGACCAGGTCGGAGCCAAAGAAGGCGCTGATGAACACAAAGAAGCCGCCAAAGAACATGCCACCGCCACAGATGTAGGTCGTGCAGCCGCCCAGCTTGTAGGCCGCAAAGCCGCAGCTGATGCGCATGGCAAAGTTCATGAGGCCGATGGCAGGTCCAATCAGGTTGGCATATTCGCTGGGAATACCCGTGCGGGCCTTTGAGTACACGAACGGTATGTTGAAGCCCATCGGGTAGAAGAAGGCGGAGGCCACCAGCACCCGGAACTCGAACGATTCCAGCAGGTGATAGTCGAAGAGCTTGTTGAGGGCCTTCACAATCTTGTTGTGCAGCCAGTGGCGCTTCTTCAGTGGCCGTCTCCTGGTCATGCGAATGCGACTGACTGATTTCCCGTAACGATCATCAAGTGGCTGCGGACTGCCCTGCGACTCCACCGAGGGGCCGTTCGTCTTCTTCTTGTCATCGCTGGTGTAGCCCTGAATGTGGGCTATGCCGTAGGTGGTTTTCTGTGCCTACGAATTGGAACTCAATTATGTCTCAAGCAGAGTCGCAGAGGAGTGGTGCCTCCACTTACATGCTGTGCCGATCCCAGCAGCTGAATCTCCTTGCCCTCCACCTGCTCCGTGCTGTGGGGCTTGTCGTAGCTGACGGGGCCCGTGTAGAAGAGATCCTCGCGCAGAATCGGATCCGTGCGGATCACCAGATTGCGATCATCTTCAAGTCTGCCCTCCTCGTCCTCCTCCTGCTCCGGCTTCCTCGTGCAGCAGGGCGAGATGCGTCGAAAGAAGGCTGTTCGCTTCGGGTGCGGTTCGTATGTCTCCAGGATGGTCTGGGAGCATATTTTCGAGGAGGAGTCGCGCATGAAATTGTGCACATAGAAGTTGCCATAGTACTCGTCCGAACTGGAGTCCATCAGGCCGGCCGGTCTGTTCAGCACGCCCACCTGTGTGGGCGCCACCTCCACGTAGGCGCAGGCAATCAGAAAAATGCACATGATCAGGACAACGTGGACCCGCAGGACATTCCGCCAGCCGATCAGCGGCACCAGCCAGCTGTTGAGGAACGAGAAGACCACAATGCCGGCACCGGCACCCGAGCACGAGAAGCCGCTGGCCAGTGCCCGATATCGCTCAAAGTAGTAGCCGATGATGAGCTGCGAGCTCACCCAGATCATGCTCAGTGCCGGGCCACCTGCGGGAACTGCGGTGTTTATAGTTGCTGATCGCAATGGGTGGAAACTACACTGGGGGGAGACCTACCAATGATGCTGTAGAACACAATCATCATGCCCAGGTTCGGGCTGAAGCTGGCCGTGAGCATGGACAATGAAGAGATTATCACACCGAGCAGGGCCACCGGCCGAAAGCCGTAACTGTTGATCAGGGCGCTGGAGAAGGCGCCGCCCATGAAGTAGCAGCCAATCTGTATGCTGGCCACAAACACAATCCGCGAGTTGTCCGACCCAAAGTCCTTGGCCATGAAGGGCAACAAGATGCCAATCGAGAAGATAACGCCATCGACAATCAGCTGGGCCAGGAAGCTGAGGACGAGCACGATCCAGCCGTAGCCACCATCGGGCGGGATGACCATGTAGATCTGGGATGGTGGTGGTGAGGGGTTGGATTTTGCAGGCGGCAGTCTCCATTCACTCACTTACAAACACATAGCCAGAGTCCAGGTTGCCGGCTGATAGGCCCAGGCCTTGGCCCCGCTTTAGTTTGGTGCCGCTGCTGGTGCTCGAATCGCTCAGGTCGGTGTACTGTGACATCATCAAGTGGTCGATCGACTGGGGGGCATCCGAGTCCATCTGCTCCTCGAAGACTCGTGAGACCAACGAACGGCGTTGCTCGTGCTGCGGGCGGTTCATGTTGAGAACCTCGAACGACTCGTCCGAGTCCACCAACGGCAGCACCTTGTCGGCTCCTGCAAAAGCCCAACCTTAGACAGTGGAAAAAACTCCTGCCGAGGCGACTTACTCTTCTTGTAGAACTTCTCCGTCTTGGTGATGAGTATTTCGTGATCCTCAAGGTCGTACAGCGCCGAACTATCACTGGAAAAGGGACTGCTGGAAGTCTGATCGATGTCGCTCTCGTTTACGGCCGTGTCGCTGAACGTCACGCGATTCTTGACCTGGACAGACGGCGGATGTCTTCTCGCAGATGGATTACTGTGAGCTCGGCCCGGATCGGTGCCCACTGCGGTGTCCACCAGTCGAGGCGGCTTTGGCTTTTCCGCCTGCAGCAGGATGTACACTGGCTCCACGTAGGGTAGCTCTGATATGGGTTCGATGGCAGTCGCAGCCTTCCCTTCAGGGTCCACCAGGCGGGACGCTTCGGGGGCATCTGCTTGGGGCACAAACATCCTCCGCTTAGTTGCCTTACTCTTGGAGTCGGCATCCCTCCGCTTGTGCCGTGGCTCGCTCTCTGACTGATGATGGGTTAAGTCCAAGGATGCTTTAGCCTTTGTCGGACTCCGATTTCGCTTTCTCGTTGGCGTTGGATCTGCGGGAGCTTTGACATCCACCGTGGCAGCTGTCGGATCAGGCACCCTGTGGCTTGACTCTGGGACATCTTCCGCTTCCTGCTCTCCATTTGGCGTTCCTTGCCAGCTCCTACTTGTCCCCGACTGCTCCTCATCCCGTGTTGGCGTTGGGCTGTCGGATTTTAGCAGGAAACGGATGGCAAGTTATTTCGACGGTTTCGTGCTCCTGGACGGACACACTCACCTACCTCGTTGATGCTTCCTACTCATTTTTCGAGTCTGGCACAGCGTTTCCCTGACATTTTTCACAAATCGCTCCCTGACTGACTGTCTACGTATCTACGTATGCCCGTATCCCGTACGAAATCCCAGTCCTGATGTCATTGCCTGAGCGCGAACTTTACGCAGAGCGGGAAAGTCGTCTACGTGTCTGTCTGCGATATGAGAAATTCCCGCCAGCTGGGGGATACGAATATATTCGCATATCGACGCCACAGCTCCGTTGGTTGTCCTGTCGGCAAGCATTAGCTCCACTCGCTTACCAACTGCTGTCCTGGCTGCCGCACGCACGTGACAGACAGTTGTCCCCTTTGCCATCCCGCCACTACACACCCCCACATCCACTCTACTGGCAGTTGGTTTTACTGCTCTGCTCGTTCTGCTACTTTTCCGCCCATCTCTTTGCTATTCCCTGTACGAGTTCCACATTCTCAACTACCAAATACCAGCAACAAGCTCCCAGCGCTCAGCGAGATCCTACATCCCGCGGTTCCTCGCTTCCAGTTGCCTGTTTATTTTGGACCAAAACAAAATTGCATCAGTGCAATTTCATTGATTGCAAGTAAATGAAATCATTCCGTAGTCGTCGTCGTCCTCGTCGCACAGCCAACATTCAGTGCAGGACACAAAACCCCTGGCAGTGCATTTGTGCTTTAAGGGCAAGAACCACTTTACGTATTTTCGGGCACGCTTTGCTCTGCTCCAAAGAGACTGCTCCTTTCTGGCTCCTGCCAGTTACTCAATCTGCAAAATGCAGTACAGTACCCCCTGCTGCTATTTGTTTGCCCAACAATCGATGCACATATCTTAAGAGAGAATAGTTAAAAAGATGCGCATCAAGGGCGAATTTGTATGGGAAGAAAAGACTTTCCACGGTAACCCCCTAGGGAGTTGCACACTAAATTGAATTGAAACGAAAATGGGTAGTAAAGGGTTGTAAATTTAATGAATCGCGTTAACTCCCATTCAGAGTTCCCCTCAATCGTTTTGACTGACCGAAACTACAACCAGTGGCTGCTCGAAAAAGTACAAGTCCAAAGTTTGCAATGAATAACAAACAAAGAGAACTAATTAATTAGCGTACAACTGACCGGAAGTCCCCCTCCAGTTGCAGCTTGTGCCCACTTTTGCGGCGGCCACTTGAGCAGTGGGCTGCAGGCGTGCAGCGGCAGTTTCGCGCCCCATGGCACTCTCTTTTCACAACAACTCTATGCGGAAATGGGTTTTTTTCAAAAGGTTCGCTCGTACGTGCCTTCTCTTTATGACCATTGCGCTTTGTTTTGGCTGGCCCAATTTTTTTCATTTTTATACCCAGTACGCGAAAAGTAAATGGAGTATAATGAACAGAAGGAAACGTTTCCTAAAAAATATTTAAATTCTTCATCAGCCTCAATAGACAAGTCGACATAGCCAAGTCCGTCTGTCCGTCCGTCCGTCCGTCCGTCTATCCGTTTTGTTTGTCAACTAATTCTCAGAGACTTTAGAAGCTAGAGCCACCGAATTGTACCTCCAGACTGGGGTGATATCACACTGATAAGAGAGTATATGGCGAATATCTTTGACATCCACAATTTTGAGCAATTCAATTAATTTAATTAAATTAATTAACATAGTTAAAATAATTTCGAAAACTAAAAACACAGTTCCATAGAGAATGACCTGATGGATAATCAGATCGTCGAACAAGGATCAGATTGGATCATTATTATAGCAATTATTATCCTTATTACCATATACTGAGTACCGCTGGTATAAGAGTTGTGACGCGTTCCAGCGCATCTCACGTTCCTCCTCGTTTTGGTTGAGCTTACGATTGGTTCTGAAACGGTGGCAGGGCGGAGGCTGTGCATGGGCCTGGGGTTGGGATTGCGGATTGGGCATTGGTAGAAAGCCTTGAAATCGAAACGGCCAAAAGATTGCGCTGCCAAATTGTTAACAGCCATTGACCCAATTTTATGGCCGAGTGCCGGCTCATGCATGTGCGGCCAGTGCACACTAGCGCGGCATCCAATAAAAATTTCAGCGTAAAAGCGAAAACGGCCCTGAGAGCTTCAGAGGTTGTTTTTGGGATAACCCCCCTTTGTTTTTTGTTCCATTCCGTTCTGGACTGTCGTTTTGTCGCTGCGTTCTGTTTGCATTAAACCCGCACCCTGCAGGGAAGGGGGCGGCATGTGCATGCAGGCTGAAGGCTTGTGATGTCTATTTTTTCTTTATTACGAGTATTGTTGTTCCAAAGTACCCGCCGGATTGGAGGCCAGAGCAGCGAAGCATTCAGCAACAAACGAACAAGATTCAACAAGGAAAATACATTTGGGTCGAGCGCACACAGACTGGAAGGGGCGGATTGAGCGGACAATTGTCAAGGCTATAGAGTGACATGTTACCAAATTACAAATACGAACTAGAGAAAGCAAAACAAAATATTGTTAGCCCATCGCTCCTCTAGAAAATTCCATTTATGCTCCATTTGCCACACCATCAATCAGGTTAACTCTGATAAGTTTGTAAATTCAAACAGATACAATTTGTAGTAGATTCGGCCTGCAGTGTCAAAATTTTCGTTTACAGTCCTCTCGACGTCATGCTCAGCAAAACAGTGCCCATTCGTGGCAAAATGCTCTGTGCAATGCGTTTGCTACTCGGCAACAATCAGTGGACACAGATCATGCCCAAGGCTGGGTGGAGCAGCAGCAGCCGCGACGATTGGGAGCCGAGTACGAGTTGCAAGTATCGTGCAGTCAATAAGCCAGTGTGTCGTCCTGAACCCATGGTTGGACCCAAGTACTTCGAGCGGCCAATGAACTGCAAGACGGATGAGCAGCTGGCCGTGGAGCCGCGCAGCTCGCTGGGTTTCTACATGCGATGCGAGCCACGTTACAGACCCCGGGCCAAGTGTCTGCCCTCGTGCGGGGAGCGCCTGGACGCAACCTTGTACCGGCCGAGCCTTAGCCTGCACCGCGACTATCAGCAGCACTGGGCCGAGTGCGCCTACAGGAAGCCGAGACGCAAATTCCGCATCGTTCCAGCGGAAATATCGAGGCGGACTCCAAAGAAGAAGTGCGACGACCCGCCCAAGAAGTGGTGCAAAACCCATGTGCGGCTTGAGTGCGAAAAGCTTTCGGATAACACAAACCGAAAGTGTCCGCGTGCGAGGATGTGTCACTGTGCGCCCGTACCGCTAAACACCAGCTGCCGACGTGGCCCAAAGCCAGCCAAATGCCAGCGACGCCTGACCCTCTACCCCAGCTTCTCCGAGTGCTTCCACAAGCCGAATGCAGTGAAGCCCTGTGAGTGTCGCTGCCTGGCCTCCACACTCTGCGAGATGATGAACTACTCCAGGAAGAAGCGAGTCTAAATCCACATTTGAAACGCTTCTAGTAGGCCTTGACAAACAGCTCCTAATTACGCAACGTCAGGCGGAACTCACTCGGGTCACTCAGATGTTGTCGTTTGGGCTGTGAACATCTCAAAATTATCCTCTTCCTTCGTTCCGTTGTAGGCTGCTTCTGGATACCGTTTGAAATTGCTGTTTGTGATGAGTCTTCTGCAAAGCCTTTGGGGCCGACTGCTGGCCATGCCCATGCCCAACCTGTGCAGGACGCTCACCACCGAGCAGAAGCTGAAAATGCGGTGGATGCGACTGAAGCAGAGGAAAGCATTTGCTATGCCCTGCTACATGTCCTTGCGGCGGACAGAGTACAAATGCCCGGCAAAGGATCTACCCGTGTGCGACGACGATCCCTGCGACGAGGGACCACTGCCTCGAGACCTCACCGACTACAAGCCGAGCGACAAGGCCAAGCGAAAGTATCAGCGCAACTGGTCGGAACGCTACGCCGAGCCGCAGCCCTACGTGCCGATGAAGAGGATCTTTCCGCTGCGAGCGAGACGATCCCGTGGCACAATGGACCGACCCCAGACGGCGTGCCAGCCGGAACTTCCCGAAAGCGGCCGTGTCAAGCCAGACCAGTTGATGGACGTCCAGAGGATCGGTGCCATGCCCTGCTGCAAGATGTCTGCTCCACACTGCAGAGCTGTGCGGAAACCTCCTACGTGCCATCTCTACTTCAAGCCCTCCTGCTGCCACAAGCGGACCACCAAGTATCCAAGCTTCTCGGAGTGCCGCAAGCAAAGGCTCCTCGAGCCGCTGCCGATCCGTGAGTGCGCCATGAAAGTCTCGATCTGCGACATGTGGGCCTACTGGCGGAGCAAACGCCGGGGCTGGTGAGACCAGCCTGGATCTGGCCTGGATAGCAAACAAAGGAGGCGTATTTCTGGCATAATTCTAAATAAAACCCTTTGGCATGTCATCTATGAATGGTGTTTAACTGTATGGGAGGGAGGGAATACTAGTGTCCATTTACCCGCTTAGAATTGTATTTGCATGGCAAATAAAACGTTTAGGTAAACATTTGCTCTGCTGAGACTTCCGTTAACTTCCATCTTAATTGCATTTGATTGTGATTTGTGTGGATGAGGACAGTTTTACTCTGCCTTTTGCCACACTTTAGTGCTGCTTTAAATGTTTTATTTCAAAAGGCAACTGCTGGAAAAAGCAAAGTGCTGACTCCGCTGGTTGCTGGTTAATTCCTGGTCGTCAGCGAAATCCTCTGAATGCCGCCCCGTATCCCTGTGTACTCCTCTATGCTGTACCTTCGCCACATCTGCATTCTTTTTCGCCTGCAGCTCTTCAGCTGGAGTGCTCTGCTCTGCTGTGCAATTCCTAAAAGGGATTTGCATGCCGCTGAGATGTTTATCGTAAATTGTTGCCGTCGTCGTCGTCGTCATCGTCGTCTTTCTTTCCCTGCGCGTCCCCGGCAGCAGCCCTGTCGTCTGGCGGCGTACAATTGTCAACGGCACAAAGCTCTGACGTTAACATTGAAAGTCACTTTGGGTGCCAGACAGAGACGGGAGAGACAGAGACGACACAAACAAAGGCAGATGGCAGTGCAGAAGCAGGATGGCCGTCAGAGGCGGAGTCAAAGACGAAAGACGGCAAAGAGCGTTGGGCTAATGAAAAGCGCCAACAAAGCGCAATGCATTTTTATTGTTATTTAAATGCAAATGTGTGCCCTCCCCTATATTGCCACACGGAAGTGTTTAATTGTTGAGCCTGGCATTGAAATGGAACCGAAAAGACATGCAAGAGTCGCACCTACACACGTATAGGGTGGTGGTGGGGCGGTAGAATTTGCCAAACATTTGGCCCCTCTATTGCTGTCCTTGTTGTTGTTTGGTATGCCCTGGAGTGACATTTCGCACAAATGAAATGTATGGCTGAAAAGTTGTCTATTTTTGTGGCCGAACAAATAATTTTATTAGAAAAGTTCCTCCCATCCTTTTTTTGTATTTTTATTTTGTGTATTTGTATCTGCTAGCCCCATGAATGGCTTGTTTGTGTCGGCTTGTGGCTTTTGCTGAGTAATATATACCAATGTGTGTGGGTGTTTGTGTTGGTGCTGGGACATGTGTTGTGTGGGAATGTTAAGTGAGATATATGTCACCCCGAACTGTACTGAAAGGACTCTGCTCTGGCTGCAGGGCTTGCGAATGGTGTTTACTCTATGTAGAAATGTGTGGCTAAAAAAATTAATCCGAAACAATAAACCATTAAAAAGCTATCACCAACGGGACAGTATCCAAATTATTGATCTGCTTTCATAGGTGCAAAAGAGAGAAATCGGAGACTGGAAAGAGATCGCTGAAATGAAACAGAAATGCAACTCCTTTGGGATAACATTCAAGCCAAGGGCTTGAGCTTTCTCCTCAGCTCTGCCTAGCTGCATCCTACTTAACCCCAGAGTCGCATAGACTGTGCTCATCCCTTCCATCCCTTCCTTCCTCGTACATACGCTTGGTATGTATATTATGATAAGGTTTTACGACAGTGTACGACGCCCAGTTGCTCGTAGGATTAAAAGCTTTTTGCGGTCAGGTTACGTAGAAGAATTGGTGGATATGCGGCATGAGCTAGGCCCTACGGCAGGGCAGCAAACAAACAAAATTTAGTTATGAACCAACAAAGTTGCCAAGCCTTTTTGCTTTACAGCTTGGCCAATTAGTTGGACGACAAGGACGATGATGCTGCTGCCGGTCCTGCTACTCCCAGTCTTAATTGCACGTGCACTTTTAATGCTGGCTCTGCGCAACCGCTGCAGCTGCAGCTGGAAGAGGGGCAGAGCAAGCATATGTGGCAGCAACAACAGCAGCAGCACCCACACATAGCCATAAATGTAAAACGCCACGGGTACTCCCCACCCAAACGCTTCGCTTTTTTTCCCCCTTACAGTTTATACACTTTGTTGGCTCCATGTCCGGCTCTAATGCCTTGCAGTTCTTTGCCGGATTGTTAATATTATTTTATAATTTCTTTTTATTACGGTTATGGCTGCCACTGCTCGTTTGGCCTGGAGTGCCGTAAAGTGCCGTAAACATCTTGCCCCGTACGGCCAGCCCCCATTTGGCTAGCCAAAGTGTGGCCATTAAATGTTAACCAGGCAATGCCAACAAAACGCTCTATGCCGGGGGGATAACTGTCTGAAATGGAGCCATTTAACCCGAAGAACTAAGGAAATACTCGTACCTGGCAATTAGGTAGCCAAATCTTGGTGGAGTTCGTTTGAGGTGAAGGCTAATAATGGGATTGGGATCTCTAATTATAGTTGACCTCGTTAACCTGCACCATGGGTCGTCTTTTCTTCCAAATATAAACTAAGAAAAAAAACAACAAGGAAGAAAGGAATCACCTTCCACACCCAATAGGCCGACGTGTTCTGCCCGTTTTCTCCTGCAGAACAACAGTAAATAAAAGCTGCTGCCAGGCTGTTCATTTCGTCTGCTCCTACTCCCATCAATCGAGGGCCAGCCTGCCACCGCTGACATTTATTGGAGACGCGATTCTATTGACATAATTCGAACAGGCGACAACGTGCCACGCAATTCAAATGCCTCAAAATGCAAATTGCCCCACAGAGTGGCTGGCTACTAGAGCAGAGAGGGGAAGTGGGGTGGCGTAGGGCCTTTTGGAGACAAATCAATTTGACGAAATACCAAACATAGCAGCAGACTGAGGCATACAAAGAGAGACACGGAACTGACAGTGTGGGTGGGGCAACTACACACCCATTTCGGGGCATTGTGCGAATGACAATGGGAGAAGATAAAAAAGACAGGCACAAGCCGCGGATGAGCATGGGATGAAAACCCATTGTCTCAGCTACAAGGGAGCCAATGGGGGGAGGCGACTCATTCTGAGTGGCGTCTCTGTGGCAAAGAGTTTCAACAGCTGTTGCCTGCTCAACGTCTAACTGTCAAAGCGCGGCTGAGATACGGAGACTCCAAGCTCATGACTTTGGCTTATCGCCAGGGTAGGACTGGACAGCACTTGGCGTCAGTCGGTCTAATTATGGCATTTAATTCCGAGTCCATTGTTTGGGAATGCTCTGCCGGAGTACAAAAACATGCAACAGTTTTGTTGTGTACCAGGAAATACATTTGTACTCGTCCGGCCTCGACTGCATATCCCGGAAGTTGTACAACGAACACACACACACACACACACGTGTCAGCCTTACATGTATTCCTTGGCAATCCATGGAGAGAGATAAATAGAGAGCGGCGGGTCCTGATAATGAAGCCATCATGGTAGGCCGGAGCCCCCGCTTTAAAATGCCATTTATGAAACATGTGCCAGCATTTATGCATATTAAATTAGCCAGCTTAGCCGGCAAATAAACAGGCCAAACAGGCGCACCGAACCCTTTTTTATGGCCTGCGTCATATTCACAAACATACACTCAAACAGCACTCACACATTCCTCTTAATATTCAGAGGTTCAGCTGGAAACGCCAGGGAGGAAAATGGAAATGCTGGCTAAGTGGAAAGAGAGCAACAGAGAACCCTCTATAATAGTTGTTTGGGGCAACTTAAAAACGCATGTTGAAAGTTTTCAAGTGTGAATTGCTCTTCATTTTTGCCACCGAACGACCCCAACGCAGGCGAAGGCATTTGCCGCCTTTCGTTGCCTACATTTCTGCGCCAATGTACACGAATGTGTGTGTGTGTGTGTGGGAGTGTTTCTGTGTGCCAGGATGTGCGCGTGTGTGTGTGGGCATGGATGTGAGTCGCAGTTGTAACAAAAAGCAACATAAAATAAAATGGCAACGGCAGAAATGTTTTATAAAAATTTATTTGAGCATAATTTGTAAATGCTCAACGAAAAAAACATCTCAAAAAGGAAAGGAAAATGTAAAGACGGAAAAATAGATGTAAGCGACGCCTTCGCAAATGGGCGTGGTCCATGTGCTTGGCGCTGAGGGCGTGGAGCTGACAGACAAAGAAAACTGAAACCGCTCTGTGGATGTGGAAATGAACATATTTCCAGAGCGAGCAGCTCCATTTGAATGGCCAGAGATGTGGCAGGGGGGGTTGGCAGAATTAATGCGAATTCCTTGGGAGTGGCCCTGTGAATGTTGCAAGCTTATGAAATATTTTTGTAATATCCGACCCATAGTCCAAGCCGTTTACACAAAGATAATGTGGATAGAAATGAAGGCAGAAACGCTTGGAAATCTCTTGGATTGGGCGATAATGAATAAATTAAACAGCACGGAAGGGCACATAATAAATCCCCTAAACCATTTGAAGAAACTTCTGAGAGAATCCGAATTACCCGTCAAACACTGTGCCAAAACGATCAAGAGTAATTATTGATAGCTCTTCCAGCCATGGATTCTGGTTTCAGGCCACATCCTTAATTCATCGGTGACAGATTGCAGACAGCCTTTTTTAGCAGCCTGCTTCAGCATGCGGTATGTGTGTGGCATGTGGCAGTCAATTAAGAACCAAATTGTTTTTGTTTTCTTTGCTTGAAATCAAATTTTGTTTGCTGGCAAACGAGCAAAGGAATACTCGTATCAGTTTGCCAGTCTGCTGCTGCTTCTGTTCTTGCAACATGATGCGCGGTGAGGGGGAGGGCGAAGAACAACACTGACATCGGGCAATGCTTAAATGTCGTTCAAGTTTGCGAGTTAAGTGCACTCCATATGCAATCGACACATGTGTGCAGCCAAACTCGTTAACACTTGAAAAGTTTCATGGGCCTTGGGGCGAGTCGGGGCCAGTTCTCTGCTCCCGACAAAGACGTGCCCAAAAGAGACATAGTCTTTGTATGTGTGCGCGTGTGCGTGTGTGTAAGTAATGTAAGACTGCTGGAAAAACCACTTAAGCTGAATATAATATGGAATACTTGTATTCTGCAGCCCAGCGAGTTCCCACAGCTCAGAGTGGAACCATTTTGTTGGCCCGACAAATCAGCG